ATGAGATCCTGAGGTCCCTAAACCGGACACCCTCCTCACCCTGACTGCGCCTTGAGATCCTGTCCATGAAGACCACAAACAGGATCGGGGACAAGGGGAAGCCCCGGCGGAGTCCAACACCCACTGGGAATGTGTCCGACTTATTGCCGAGAATGTGGACACAGCTCACACTTTGGTTGTACAGGGACTGTATGGCTCGCAGCACTGAGTCTGGTACCCCATACTCCATCAGTGCCCCCCACAGAGTCCCTCAGGAAACAAAGTCATAGGCCTTCTCCAGATCCACAAAACACATGTGGACTGGCAGGTCAAAATCCCATGCCCTCCTCAGCAGCTCCGCAAGGGTAAAGAGCTGGTCCACTGTTCCACGACCAGGACGGAATCCACATTGCTCCTCCTGAATCCGAGGTTCGACAATCGGCCAAAGCCTCCTTTCCAGCACCCTAGAGTAAACTTTTCCAGGGAGGCTGAGAAGTGTGATACCCCGATAACTGGAACACACTCTCCAGTCCCCCTTTTAGAAAACGGGAACCACGACCCCGGTCTGCCACTCCACAGGCACTGTACCCGATGCCCACGCAACATTGAAGGGACATGTCAGCCATGACAGTCCGACAATGTCCAGAGCCTTCAGTATCTCAGGGTGAATCTCGTCCACACCTGGTGCTTTGCCACTGAGGACCTTCTTAACTACTTCGGCAACCTCTACCACGAATGAACCCCCGAGTCTTCAGACTCTGCCCCCTCAGCAGAGGGCGTGTTTACCGGGTTCAGGAGTTTCTCGAAGTGCTCCTTCCACCGCTCGACAAGATCCCCAGTCTGGGTCAGCACTTCTCCCCAAATGTACACAGCCTGGACGAATCCCTGCCTCCCCTTTCTGAGGTGTTGGACGGTTTGCCAGAACTTCTTCGAGGCCAACTGAAAGTCCTTCTCCATGGCCTCCCTGAACTCCTCCCACACCCAAGTTTTAGCTTCCACGACTGCAGCCCTTTTGGCTAGCTAGTGCCTGTCTGCTGCTTCAGGAGACCCCCGAGCCAGCCAGGCCCGAAAGGTCTCCTTCTTCAGCCTGATGGCTTCCCTCACCGCCATTGTCCACCAGTGGGTTTTGGGGACAGACAATACAATAAATATTTAAATAATCAACAATAATCATGCCAGGATGACCATCGTTCTTACCGTCTGGACGGCAGAATAGACGACTTCCTGCTCTGGTAAACTTGACTCTTTGGCTGCTGTGGGATTGAAGGGCAACGTGGAGCCTGATAATCCAGGTTCTGCTTCAAAAACAAGAAGAATTTGTGTTTTATTTCAATATACAAAACAAAAAACAACCTGAAAAGCAGATATTAGTACAATGACACCGATGTAAATGTTTAAATTGTCATATTCAGACAGATTTTCCTTTTGACAACATAAGTTTGCACCAAAGAATCCTAAAGTTCAAAACTGGGTCAAATATTCACAACAGTTTGACTTGAAACTCATTGACTCTATTGTTTTTTAAACAATTTGTTGTTATTTTTAATGTTCTCCCCATTTTAATATCAAGTAAAATCACAAGAAATAAATGATTAATAAACATATAGACTCTAAGAAACGTGGACAAAACTGTAAATAAACAAAATCTGTATTTATTTACTTTTCAACAAGTTGTACTAAAATTCTTTTACAGTGTTTGACCATAAAATTAAACAGTTTTACTGCATTTAAATCAGCAAAAAATAGAATTATTTTACTGCATCAGTTCAGGAAACACATGAACTGTGATAAATGGTAGAAACACATTTAGTTGATTAGATATGAACCAGGACGTTGCGCCTCTTTTAAAGTGGAGTAAATGGGTTGAACCGAGGACTCGTCTGCACCTGAAGGTGAGAAACTGTCAGAGTTAAATATAAATACTGATGCAGACACACTGAAAGGGTTTTTTTGACCCTCGTACCTTCTGTTGCTGGTTTTCTGCTGTGGTTTGACTCGAGGCAGCCGCTCAGATGATCTCCTGCATCAGCAGCGTGTGAAACAAAACGTTGGAGGCAAAAATAAATCCAGTAGCTTTCCGTGGTGACAAAACCTCAACTGACACTTTCAGG